TGCTGCTGCTGCAGTTGCTGCTGCTGCAGTTGCTGCTGCTGCTGCAGTTGCTGCTGCTGCTGCTGGTTTTCTCCTCTTTCGGCGCGTGCACCTGCTTCATTTTCCTCCATCAGCCATTGAATGCATCAAATTAATTCTATTTATTGATTTATTTATTATTTATTTATTATTAATTAATTTATTTATTTCTTTATTTAATTCAGGATAGAGAAGTGGGAGACGGAACAACTTCTGTGGTGCTGCTGGCTGCGGAGCTGCTTCGGCTGTCTGTACAGCTCATCAAAGACGACCTCCACCCCACAGCAGTCATCGCCGGCTACCGACTCGCCATGAAGGTCCAAACCCTAAACCCTAAACCCTAAACCCTAAACCCTAAACCCTAGGCGCCAAGCCCCAAACCCTAGGCGCTAAACCGTCGGCCCTCGGGCGCGCTTTCGCGGGGCAGAGCGGCGCAAGTTCGAGATGCAGAGAGCACACACAAGCTGCGCTGTGGCTAGGGTTTAGGGTTTAGGGTTTAGGGTTTAGGGTTTAGGGTGTGGCACAGACGTGCTGCTTGAAGAGCGCGAGGCTTCGGCCCCGTCGCGCGCCCGCGGCCCGCGCTCCCGCGCAGACGGCCCCCAGGGCCTAGCGCTAGGGTTAGGGTTTAGGGTTTAGGGTTTAGGGTTTAGGGTTTAGGGTTTAGGGTTTGCGGCGCAGGAGTCCGTGCGGTACTTGAAGTCGCGGCTGAGTCTGCCGCTGCAGAAACTCGAAATGGACTTTTTGCTTTCTGTGGCGAAGACCTCTTTGGCTTCGAAGTTCATAGCAGCAGAAAACAACTTTTTTCCGCAACTTTGCTGCCGCGCAGTCCACGCAGTCAAAACCGTAAACCCTAAACCCTAAACCCTAAACCCTCGGCGGCCCCAAACGCCGGCGCCCTCCGAGCGCTGGGCTCCGCTCTGCGAGGGCTCTGGACCTTTGCGGCCCTTAGGCTCCCAAACCCTAAACCCTTGCCAAACCCTAAACCCTCGAATTCCTAAACTAAGCCCTCTAGTCCTTACACGCTGAACTCAAACCCTAAACCCTAAACCCTCAAATGGGGTCTAGCACTCCCGTTGTGCATGCTGCTGGCTCGCTGCTGCCGCGCCTGAGTCGCCCACAAACCCCCATGCCGTAAACCCTAACCCCAAACCTGAAACCCTACCCCCCAAGCCCTAAACCCTAAACCCTAATTTGGGGTTTTGTGCATGCAGGTGACGGAAAAGGGGGAAACAAAGTACCCCGTGGACTCTATTTCAATTTTGAAGACTCATGGAAAGAGCGCGAGGGACTCCGAACTTGTTGATGGTTTTGCTCTTAAGGCTTCCAGAGCTGCTCAGGGTTTGCTTTATTTTCATTTCATTTTATTCTATTTTGTTTATTTTAATTCTTTTGTTTGTTCTATTTTGTTTTGTTTTGGTTTGGTTTGGTTTGGTTGATTACATCCACGCAGTTGCGCAGAAA